TACTCACTGTACTCACCAGTAGTACAGGTCATAGAACATGTCCGCGTCTTTGCAGACGCAGTAGCCTTCGTCGACGTCGCATTTCGCTGTCCGCGCGTCGCAGTCTTTTTCCACTTGGCACGACGCGCCAGGTCGTCCTGACACAGTTTGTTAATTAGTTCATTATTATAATTACAAGAAAAATGCCTGATCCTAAAATGCTCAACGGTTAAAATTACAGATGTTCAATGTTCCAATTCTTTACGTGCGTGTTGCCGATGTTCACTTCATCTTGTGTTAAATTTCAGATATTTTAAAATAGCTCTCGTCTTAATATTTCTAGACATTTCTAATCTAATCAAAGTATTTCTGATAGGTGCTTTTACATTCTTTGCTGTCGCCCAGTTTGGGATCCAACCTTGGTCGGAGCACTAGCTGTTATTTTCGCAAAAAATGTGATTTTTACGAATCGTATAAAACTCTGGAACATTTTCAAGAGTTTAGACCCATCTCGTTTACACTTGATCTTCATCACTCACCACAAAGATTAAAACTCATACCTATTATACCTATCTCATATTCGTCGTTCAAACCTGGACTTTTAATTTATTTTCTGCGCAAGCTTTAATATTTTATTTCTATGTAACTCACCACAAGGTCCACAGTAATAATATACGTTGTTTGTTTTGGAGGACCGGCTGTATGACAAGCAGAGTCCATCGCCACACACGCAGGTCCCATTTGCCGTATTTTCTGTGTCAATAAATGTGTAGTAAAATTAGACTGCCTAAATTTGGCAAAATGCGTAATTAAATTTGACTAAAATGTGTGGTCAAATTGTACTGCCTAAATTTGACAAAAGGCTGAACTAGATTTGACTGCTTAAATTTGACTAAAAAGCGTAGTTAAATTTGACTTCATAAATTTGACTAACTGCGTAGTTAAATTTTTTGTACAGCCAAATGCATGTTACCGGAGCTGTTTGACGGGGACCCAAAATCAATCAAACAGATGCCGGTGCATCGACTTGGAAAAATAGTAATAGATGAAGGTATATGGGCTATTGTGTGAAGTCCTACTTGTAAGCCTGCGAGAAATGAGTGAGGACTGTTTTAGACTCGAAGTTATCTTTTGTTCCTGTGTGGGTCATTTGAACCCAGCTTAAACATGCAAATATGGTCAGTGCTCCGATGGCTTTTTGCTCCCGCTGTGTGAGTAAGAGTATCATTTTTGGTTATTTGGACACATTTGAGCCTCTTATTCTCTTGAGTGAGACGTACTGCAGAGACAGTGGAGGCCTTCCTATGCACGAATAATAGTAAAGTATTACTATAGTAATACTTTAATATTTAAAACAGTAGTCATTTTGCCATCAGAGAAATGATTGGCTCACATAGTCCAAATGTTGGCACACTTTCTAAACGTAGCCCATCCATCAATCCAAACTTGGTCACCATGAACAACACTTGGGCAAATTATGGATAGTTATTTGATAAATTCACACTGATTAAATAAATAAATCCCCACTGAGTATGATATTAATGTTCAACAGAGAAACGTACTCTCACAAACAGGAGGGAAGACGATGCTGGAATCGGCAGGAGTCTGGTCGTAGTTGTAGAGATGGCAGTCGCTGTCGCTGGTGCACCATGTCGTGTTCAACAGGTTGTCTGTAGGAGAGAGCTATTTAATTAACTATCCACTTAATGAGATGAGTCGGATGCTATATGTCGGACACCAGATGAGTCGGATGCTATATTTTTGGTACGCTGAGAATATCTTTTTGGGAACAAAGAGAGTAAAAACTAAGACTTATTGAATCAACGCTAACCGGCTCTTACCTTTGTTATTACCAAGGATTTATCAGAAAATATTTTCGATTGTTACTAAAATAAATTTGAATAAAAAATTTCTCACCGGGAATGCTGCTCGATCTATCACCATATTGTGAGTGGAAATTCATAAACGTTTTTTGAACGATAAAAGTTTTCAGATTTGTTGTTGTATACGCACTGAACGACGCTCCTTTTACGTCTCCGGACACAATTTTCATGTCGGAAACTTTTACCGTCCGTGTGCTGTCTTCCGCTGCGACCAAATCAGCCTGATGGTCAGGGTAAGCATCGAGCTGATAAACATCATGAGTTGCAGCATTTATTGCTGTTCGAGCTTTTGCTTCAGATTTCTCAGCAAAAGTATTATTATTAATTTGTTTAAATGTACCAGATTTTATTGGGGAAGCTTCAATGCGTTCTACTCTTACGTCAGCGCGAGAGAGATCGTTCAAGTCCATGACTGAGGGAAAGTTCTTATTACTTGTTGTTTCCAAGTTTAAATTAATATTTGTCGTCAAATTTTCGAGTATCACTGTATTTGTAGTGCTTGTATGAAAAACTTCTTCACTTTCATTGCTAAAAGCACTTGAATTTATGAACTTGATGTTATAAGAGGATTTCATTTCAGTAATTGCGCTCATTGGAGTCAAAACTGGCCGTTCTTCATTCAATCCATCCGTCATGTGTGTATTTTTCGTCGTACTTCCACGATCCCTTTCGTTCCTCATTGTTACTATTGAAGGATTTAGCTGGACACCAGGACTTGAATAATCCACAATGAATTGTTCTGAGCCATTCGAAGTAATTTTATTCTGTTTAACTTTCCCCTCAGGTGTTCCATCGACGTCAACTTTAAACTTCGTCAAAAATTTATTAAAAAGATCGTTTCCTGAGTTAGTGAAATTTTCACCGCTGCGTGCTGTAGACACGTTTGTCTGTTCGTAAATCTTGCCAGGAATTTCGGGCATTTCATACACAAGTTTGCTTTCAGTGACGAGATTATCTTCAGAAATTGAAACATGTCCTCTGACTTCAGATTTATTTACAGAATTCAATATAGATACGTCGATTTTAGATTTATTTGTGTTGTGAAAATATTTTACACTATGATCTTTTTTCCGTGTAATAAAAAGTTCATTGGAATTTTCCTTGACTGGGGCTATTAAATTTCCCGAACGATCGGCGTAATGTGACGCATTCTCGGCACCATGGTTGAAAAATTTAATAATTTGTGTGTCGTTTTTAAACGCAATTATTAGTGAACTATTCATATCTTCAGAATCCCTTGAGTTGCGCAGCACCTCTTTAATTGGGACTGGACTTGCTTCAGAATTTACTACATGTTTATTGATGTACGAGTCTTTTAGGAGGATGAATACTTGGACGACAAGCAGGGCGATCGCAACCCAAGTTATAAGCCTTGTCAAAAATTTGTGCAATGATTCCAGAAACGCCATGATGGCAGCGGATCCTCAAACAATAAAAGTATTCATTACTATCGGGCTTTAAACCAATTATAAAAGGTTTGCTCACTATTTCCGATCGGCCGAACAATAGTTCCGTAAGGGTAGAAATAATCTCGGTTATAATATCCTAATTATTATTCACCGTTTCGTAAAAAAGTTTTTACAAATAATGTCCGACCAATTGTGTCAACGCCCAAGGAATCTGGAACTGTATCATTTGACATTGGAGATTGTAATCCACAGTCTTTAATTAATTGTAATTCACTTTTAAATGAAAAAATCCTTGCTAATTATTACATCCAGCAATCTTAATTCAATTGAAAATCATAGAATACAATATTCATACGCCTCGTATATCGTGTACATCATTCCTAATCCACTTCGACAGAAGATTTTCTTCGAGGTGGTTTTCCACTCCTCATGTAATAATTGCTGCCGGAACACTGTCGAGTTTATGCATGTAAAATAAAACATTATTGGCAACTCTTTGAAAAATTCACTTATTTAAACACATATTCAAAGTAAATTACACTGCGAATGAGTCGCTAAACTGAATTGCACACTTTTTTGAAAAGTTTTTCTTCCTGTTACTACTCACAAATATTCTTCCATATTTTCTAAGGAAAACTATTCCGATCACTTTTGCGTGGAATTCTGGTGCGAAAAATTTCGGTTTTCCGTAGTCTGGGTTATTGCATGATATAGTTTCCACTTTTATAGCCTAAAAACAAATTTTCCTTCTGATATTCCTTTCCTTCCTTCTAATATTAATCAATTGTTAATGGCTTATTTCTTTTTGCCTTGGTTACCCACAAACAATGCAAACACCAGCGATGTAAAGATGATACTGCGATGAAGGCTCATTATTTCTGCCCGATAGGCGTCACGTGATTACAGTGATAGCGACATCGATAGAGGATCTGAACAGTCCGCAATACAACATTCATTCCTTGCAACAAACCGAGGTTAATTTCACCGAAATAACATTTTTCCACTGGAAATTGTTCTATACTGTTTGTAAGTAGCTCTGTATTGGTTTTAGTAAATTAGTTTAACGTCAATCGTCAGAGTGCAGGAATATGGGACAGGAGTGACACAAGAGTCATGTAGGAGTGACACAAGAGTCATGTAGGGGTGACACAAGAGTCATGTAGGAGTGACACAAAGAGTCATGTAGGAGTGACACAAGATTCATGTAGGAGTGACACAAGAGTCATGTAGGAGTGACACAAGAGTCATGTAGGAGTGACACAAGAGTCATGTAGGAGTGACACAAGAGTCAAGTAGGAGTGACACACTCACTACTTTGAGTGCTTCAAATTAAGTTGCTTCTCTCTATATAATAAGTTTAATTTTATCAAGAAATTGATTGAAATACATACATCGATTTAATCAAATACGGAAATAAGTTTCCTTAATCTTTTGGTCCAAAGAACTCCAATAGTACTGTGAACCATGGTGAATATAATGAAAATGTTCACTACTTTCAACTTAAATTTAAGTCAAGCACAATTTTTCAAAGGAAAAAATAATTAATTTTTCATTATTGCTAGTTCCAATAATGTGAAAATCCCAATAAAGCATTAAATATCATCAGTAATAGAATGACTCAGCAAAAACGGTATATGCACAGCTTGTATATTAAGTTGTCCAAAATTTAATTCATTGTAGACATCAGTAGACTTTACCATGGCTTTTTGATGTCATGTAACTATAAAGTATTGAATTATTTTAGATGCTACATCAATTTGGTTTGAATGGAGCGTTTCGTATTTAACAAAATTAAAAATTTTAAAATTCGGTACGCTTGCACCATAAATATAAGTATTATATAACGACGGTCCAGTTAACGGACTAAGGCTAGAGGGTCGTTGCGGGATCAAGACGGCACTGACGTGAGCCCTTTCCTACTCACCAAGACGAATACTGCCATCAGGCATTGAATTTTCCCGGTATCTTATCGCGGTTTATATTGAGATAAGATATGAGTGTTAGTGCGTGACGTCACGAACGCGCATGGTCATCTGCTTGATAAAATCATCTGCTCGTGCGTGCGTTGGAAACATTTCGTGTTCGTGATGCACAATTTAATACTCACTTATAAGTCGTTTTGCTTCACTCGTATTCTCAAGTAAACATCGTCGCTTCTGTGCAAAGAAAACTGACGTCAATGATATTCATTTATTCTATGCAGGCTAAATTTCGAACGCTAAACTATGAAGGTGAATATTTATTGTCACCGTTGCTATGTAGATGTTCAATCAACAATTACCTGATTTTAAAACAAGATTTTTTGAGATTCGTATCTATGGAGACTCGTTCATGGCACCACCTTAGAGACTCGTTCATGGCACCACCTTACTTAATATATCCTGGCCCTGATGAGCCTCATACGGGCAGGTGATATAACGGCAGCGAGCAGCTATATCTCTAAACCAATGGGCGAGTCTCATCAAACTTTACACACACACCGATAAAACTAGTTCGAAGTAATTCAGAACAAACAACGCAAAACCCCAAGGTTTACTAAACAGAATTTGAAACAACAGTCGAGCCTAACCTCCGGCAATTCGCAAGATGACACAACGAATACACTTCCTCATCACAGCCAGCAACGCATGTTGGGTTGGCGGGACTGCCGATCGCCAGCTCCGCTACTAAGAATGTCGACGTCCCAAACGTGGACTGTTTGGGGCGGCGCAGAGATCAGAAGCCAGGCCACATAACTACTTCGATTCGCTAGAGAGCAATTGCTAAGGCAACAGGTGCGGGTGCCAACAAGATAACACAATATCCTGAATCTATTCTTCACCAGCAATGAAGAATTGGTTGCTGATATTCGGGTCGAGAAGACCACACTGCCGGACCATCGACTATAGTGGTGGTCGAGCCAACAATTGGGATTGGGAACCACCCAGCTCGAGATGGCCTGGCTGGGCTAAATTTTCACCACTGGGCTCTGGAAAACATCATTGAGAGAAGGAAACGTTCCTAGCGACCTAAAATTAGGGCTAATAACCCCTATCTGCAAAGGAGGTGCGAGAGATAAACCCCATAATTACAGGCCGGTTACATTAACATCACATGTAATTAAGGTATTTGAGAATGTCGTGGCCAGAAGTTTGGTGCAGTACATATGGAGGAAGCTTACCTTTTCAACAGAAGGCAACGCGGGTTTAGACGAAATCGCTCCTGTTTGTCTCAGTTACTGGAGCATCACCATCAAACCCTGGCCATGCTGCAGGAGAGGACTGAGGTGAACGTGGTATATTTAGAATTCGCGTAAGTATATGACAAAGTTGACCAAGGAGTGCCCTTCAGAAAATTAAGACTACTGGCCGGGGGTCGGAGGTGATAATGCTTTGAAAGTAGATAGATTGCGATTTGAGGAAGCTGTGTCCCATTGAGGAAGCATATAGGTTTGGGTTTATAACCCCTTTGGTTCAGGGTAAGCATAAATATTATTAAATTTAGAACGTACGAAGTCTAAAAAGTTCGGAACAATTAGGGCTGGATCTGCAGTATTCTTAACCATGCAAGATATGAAAAAATTAGGTTATTTCCGGTCCAGAGGACCACTCTAGCATTCGAACTTGAAGAATGCCACTAATGTATCTAAAGTGTCACACTCCATATAAGTGTTGAAAAAGTTTCAAAAGTTTTGAATATACAAAACAGCGACGCAATAAGAATCGCGTTCGATATTCATAATTTTTTACGCTTTTCATTTAAAAAAGCTACGATTGTTTCTCAAAGAAAAGACCAAATGATCGGAATGGAAGAAACGATCGAATTGGCTTCGACCAGTTATGCATGGCAGCTGCTGACAAATTAGTTTGAATTTAAGCTCAAAATACTTATTGAACAAATTGGGTGATAGAAACAACGTTTCCTGTAGTTCATATCATTAAAAACATAAATTAATAGTTTTGAAGAAAACTAATTGAACTAACGATCCGTTCACTTCAAAAATATTCATCAGAAGATGAAGGCATTGTTGTTATACCAAATACACATATATAATATAATATTACACAAAGAAACATGGTAGCTTCATTCGTCAGCATTCATGATCAGAGCGACTGAGCTATGGAAATTTTTTTCATCGACAATTAATTTCTTATCTTCATTACTTGAGAAATTTTTCAGATAGCGTGGAGGGCATCAATAATCCGAATGCATGAGTACATGTAAATAAATAGTCCCTAGAACTGTGGGTTAAGCAAGTTGGCTTCGATATGGCTTAAAACATTCATCATAATATTGTTATTTTTAACAACTACCATCAGAAATGCTAAGCCACACTCAATAACTGAGATTAAATGCATTGATAATAATTTCAATATACCCTTAATTTGAATACGTGTAAACGCGATGATTGTTTAGAAAAAAAAAAATGCTTTAGCGTCAGTTATTCTAATCTAAGTAGAGCTTTCTATGCAACCTGAAAAGCTAACACTTAATACCCGGACAGTAAATACCTGCAAAATATTAGCCAATGAATATAAATTGTAAAACTCGTTTGGCTAACCGCAAACGTTAAGCCTGGACTTACTTACGATGAAGGTCATAAATTTTGCTCGCAAATCGCCTGGCCTCCCAACTTGCGGGTCAGTTGCTGTTGAGACGTGGCGCGAGGAGGACGTGTGGGCTCCGCGTGTTTAACCTCACAGGTTGTGCTGGATTGCAGAAGATGCCGGCATTATGTAAACGGGTACCTGAACTATTCAAAAATGCTTATTACGCAAATTGCTCGCATAATACTATTTTTCGGGAGGAAACATACGGCAAATGAAAGATACAAATGTTTTTACGAGTGGCTTAAACGTAACTTTGATTACATTTCAATTATTCCCATAATATTGTGAACTTTCTGAAAACAATTTAAATAAATACAATTTTAATTCAAAGTTATAAATACGATGATATTAGAGTGTTTATAAACACTCTAGAGTGTTTATAAACACTCTAATAAGATAAACTTCTAATATAATAATAATCATAAACTAATAAAAAATTACTCTAATATAATAAACTTATAATAAACACGAGTGTTTACGAGTGTTTACCCGCATCGTTTCAGTAGTAATTTCAGTATTTCAGACATTGCATCTTTCAAAAACCGTATAATTTCTAAGCATTATTATTGCCCGTTCTATTTGAACATTGCAAAATCATAACACTTAAAGTGTAATAACAGATATGCGATATTACCCAGTCATATATATAAGCACGAAAATATGAAAATAATATAAAGTATTTCGACAGAAACAGTCTTATAAATCTATAGAGATTCAAGCTCAGTTCAAAAAATACAGAAAATACTGAGCTTCCACTTTTGAAGGATATAGTGTTAATTCCTTGGTAAGAATTTTCAGTAATCCTTGTTCGAACTGATATAACCGTAAAAAATGCCTTGCCAATAAATTTTTACGTTGTTGTCAGTCTCGCTTTTCCATTGTGAGAATTTTTTTTCTAGCATGGGCATCAAAATCTATAAAATTTTGTGAATGCAATGTTTATTCATATCATACCTTAATGGTTTTACTTCACAATAACTTCAATTTTAATCTATTCGTTGGAATTACTGTTTAACTGATGTTATAGATATCATAAAAGACAGCTTTCGAACAGTTAAATATTAGTTATTTCACCTCATTTTTATTCGTATTATTCTTCTTGATTTTTTCCCTGAGAAGAACCTAAAGCGTTCGCAAGGCTATCCAATATTGTAAACATCGCACAATGCTACTTTATGATTTGCAAGTGGATCTTTTTTATGGACTCGTATGAAAACACTAATGAATTGAATAGAAAAAACATAATTTGAAACTAAATTAAAATTTTACCTTTGTGCCGGAAACACGATGGATGTTAGTAAGCAATTTTATAAAAGACTTCAACGATTTTATTTCTACGTAAAAATAATTTTTCAACATCACTTCCTGCCTCTTATCGTTTGAACTGATGATGGTGCTGGTATCCAAGGCCATTTTCATTTTATTAAAATATGAAAAAATTTCTTAACCTTTTCTTTGCTATTCATTTTATCGTTGAAGAATTTCTTTACGTTTTTATTAGTTTATTGTTCATATACTTTTTCCGTCTCCATTATCACGTTTATCGCTGTCATAAATTACTCCTTCATAAATTGCGAGTGGCGCTTACATTCTATTTTCTAGTTCCATTAAAAATATTTAGATAAAAAATGGCGCTTAAATTGACAATAAGATGCGAAAAAATTATATTAAATTTAAAAAGGGGTTAAAGCGCATTTAGCGATAACATGCCCTTAGGATTTGACAACGCTTGGTAAATTTTCTCTAATATCGACCTATTCTTATTAACTTAGGTATAACCGGAAAATATTGCGTATGAAATTGACTGCACTTTAATTGAACGTCGGAAGGAAGTGTATTCATTGCGACCTGGATGATCACATCGCAAAAAAGTCGCTAAACTTTCCACTGTGAGAAAATGAGGCTGAAAAATGGAGCCACTGTGAGGCTGAAAAATGGAGTAGAATATAGCAGTCATTATGCTCAATAATTTAATAATTTAAGTTATGAATGAGGCATGCAGCCGAGGCTGGTATAGGTCACGCAGGCAGGTTCTTATTTGACGGGTGCCGGTATGAAGATTAGCAATCCTATTCTAATAATTGAGTCAAGTTGCCATTAGTTACTAAAAATATAACTCAGTACTCACTGCAGTGAGTGACAGAGAGCGCATTTTCTCGTCGACGAAAATTTGAGGTCACGGACGGACGGACGGACAGACAGACAGACAGACGGACATGGCCAGCACAATAGTGCATTTTTTCCATAAATGAGAAAATGCGCTAACAAGAAAAACATATTTGCAAAAAACTAAAATTAAGGTTAAGCCGTGTAAAATTAATCGTAATAAACCAAATGGTTAAGAAGGAGGTCCGCAAGACGGCAAGGTCATGACAGTTCTATATAAATCCAGCTCAAGATAACACTTTACAAGCGATAAGCGACCAGTCAAGCAACATTTATAGATGATGAATGTTAGCACTTTCGTGCATGGATCACAATTTTAATTTGAAACCCAGTGTAATATTTCGATAATATTTTTATCCCTAATTTCCTTTTCCATTAGATTGCAGAATGAAACGAACATCAATGTCTGATTTTTTGGCTCTCTTACTAGTCCTCACAGTTTCTTTCTGTCAATGGAAGGAAGTTTACACAGATGAAGAATGTTTCCCTTTCGGTCGTGAGGTCGATATAGACGACATCCTCAAGCAAATGAAAACAATCGGTCGACGTTCAAAACTGACGTCTAAAGAAAGCATAACTGACAAGTCATGTTCGGGAAATAATAGAAACGATTGCGTAAAGTCAATGGAAACGATTTCATCCAACTCAAATGAACAAATGGTGGAAATGAAAATTGGTTCTGACGAACCTTTTAAAAGAATTCCATCATCCAATTCTGACATTGGTACGGGAACACTGTACCTAAATGATGCCAAGGATGAAGCGACTGATAACGTTTTGGATTACTCGTTGGACTCGGAAAAGTCCAACCTCATATCAAATTATGATTGGGATTCATCAGAAATTTTCGTGCATTTGAACTCAACAAATGACAGACAGAAACGGTCGATGGACGACGGTGTGTCAGATATCCTGCAGCCCCTCAACGGAGAGAGACAGGCACGTCTTTTCTTCAACTACGAGAGCGCCGCCTCCTTCAACCTTTCCCTGCAACTGAGAATTCCACTCATCGCCTTCAAATTGCCGGGTGAATATTACTTTTTTGTGTCTTAAAATATAATTTGTTCTTTTCCCCAGTATGCACTAACTGATTGAATTGAATGTAATTACTGTTTTCGGATGAACACGAGCTTGGTGATCAAAATACTATACCTACGTCAGATAATCTAATGAAACCTAGACAAAACTTGACCATTTTGAAAACCATTTTATAGGTGCTCCCTCAGTCTAGTGAAACCCAGACAAAACTTGACACATTTTAAAAACTATGTTATAGGTGCTCCCTCAATTCCTGTCTCAAATAACAGGCTCATGTAATTGTATTATTGGTAATTATGTTATACTTGACGCAACGCAGGTGCGAACGACGTGACACAAGACCTAGAGGACGGCAACGCGTTCGGCAAGTACTCGCTCTTCAACCTGTACCTGCTGGGGGCGCTGGCGGTGGCCATACACACCACGGCGCAGGGGTCGCTGGACTCGGAGGAGCCCAGCCCAGAGGCTCCCTTGAGGCGCCTCGATCCTGCGCCGCCGGTGAATTTCCTTGAATTCTTGAATGCTAATAAATAAATGAGGCTATTAATTAATAAATGATGCTAATTTATTAGTGAATTAAGTGATAAAGAAGCTAAAAGTTTCAGTAGATTATTTCATGTACGACAATGAAGAATAGAAATAATACAGTGAAAATATGAGGTTTATCGATGAAAATTCTAAATATAAGAATAAAGCAGTTTGTACAATCGTTCCATGACTTTATATGCAGTTTGCAACTGGAAAAACTCAAGAGAAGCAAACCAAACATTTAATTTAGTAAAGAAACTTCAAGTCAGGCTATCATGAAGCCGATTTCAACTCGAAAAAGGTTCGCACTATTCTGTTTATCCTTTGTGTACTGACGGGATATCTCTGTCGCAGGCTTTTATGTACTAATAGCATCGAAGGTAGATGTATCAGCACACAAAATGTTAAATTCCGCATCTTATTTCATTTGGTCGCTGAGGCTTTGCAAAATCGTCAACAGTTAGAATCCCAACTGAATGGCATCTAAATTTCCATCCTGGCGTCTAGATCAGTGAACTCTTATATCGAATTCAATTCATTCGTAGCTTCGCCAGCCTAATGTCTTCATTTAATTTTCGTTAGATATTGAAAATATTTCGATTTCTTTATTGACATCTACTTATCTAAATTACTACCGATCATACTTTTTTCAATACTTCGTCTCTTCACTCATTCTGCCATACCATCCACACCTTATCTTTAAATTTCTAAAAATTTCCGAGCCCTAATTCCATCCCATCTATTTACTAGCTAAATTTCAATCAAATTAAATTTGTAGCTATTAAATATTGATGAATTATTGAAGAATATTCATATGAATAAACTTGATCCTATATCTTTAATTGTATGAGCAATTAGACTTCGTCTTCCCAGTCCCAGGGTAACACCAGCGCGCTACCGTCGACCGTGCACGCCGCTCTCGAGGATGTCGTCGACGTGCTGAAGGTGAGGGTTGTTTTCTGTCCTGGGGAGACGACCTTATTAATATTATTGCTTATTATTAGAACTATTATTGTTACTTTATTAGTATCCTTATTACCATTATTAGTACTATTATTATTACCTTATCATTATACTTGTTATCACTATTACCTTATTATTATAGTTATTACCATTATTAGAACTATTATTATTACCTTATTATCATACTTATTACCTTTATTAGAACTTACTTTTATGTACACTTGTGGCCTAAATTCACGTTGTGGGAAAAACCATTTTATACATACTTTATTATATTATATTGTCCGGACTTATTCTGTAAGGTCAAGCTAGTAAACGGAAATTGTAAGTCTTTGGCTTGGTTACAAAAATATGCAGTTTATAGAAACGGGTGCTGCTGAGTAATGCGCATTACCTCTCACATGTGTACGGAATCGGTAGCCTTGTTAAGTAATTGCTTACAAACTTAGTTAGATACTTCTAAAAAATCCAATAAAGTGAATCCTGAATCTGAGGTCATAGACAAATCAAATGTTCAAATGGTGTAAACTTGGTTCTAATTACATCAATCTTTGTCCACCTGCTAATTGAATTAAGATATTGTACTGGCACGTTTAAAAGTGCCCTTCGACGATTTTTTAATTTTAGAGTCTCTATTGAGTCAATGCAAGTACGAACGATCACTATAAGCCTTTATGTGTGCCTCGGCTGATACGGCAGCCCTACAACGTACGGCCTAAATATACGTAGCAGCTGATTTATCATTAGTGATTGCGAGTTGTGGCGTCAAAAGCTATCAGTGATTGACGAACAGAGTAACAAACTCTTCCAAATTTTTTATTACGCTGCCTTTGGTCTCGTGTACAGACTTTATTAGGTTCATGAATGTTATACACTGAATTGAATTTGTTTATTGCATATATTATTTTAATTAGGTTGAGGTTATTGGAATTGCTGACATTTAGGTATGAGTAATGTTGACAGTGCGATATCCATCTTTATATTTTAATTAGTTTTCTATATAATTTTTTAGATTTATGAAGACTACCGTGATGATTGATTTCGATAGATTCATTGTCTGCTGTTTTCATCAGAAAATATCTCAATACACTCGTCATAACTATTTGCAAAGCCATCCTGAGGTTTTTTAAACATTAAATAGACGAATGATTATTGTTGAAATCAGTTTTTTACTGAGTTGAGTATGGTTGGTACGAGTAACACATCTTTTTCGTTCAAGTGTTCTATCAAAAATATGCTTCATATATCATATATATGGATAATAAATTTTCCGAATGAAGGATTTTTATTTCTTAAAAAGGAAAATTCATTTCAATCCGTAAGTTAATCTTTCCGACTTTCTTCTCACATGAAGGAGGAAAACGCCAAAAGAAAATTGAAAGTTTCGCAGAGCTCCGATGCAACAAGCTTCAACTTCGACGACGAATTTTACATCGAAGACGTTCTTATGCACATAGAAGCGATGAGCTCAAAGCATTCGTACGAACCAGCGCTTGCTGACGAGTTTTGTTCAGAAGAAAATTCTACCAACTGCAGAAAAAAGTTGGCAAATACGTCACAGCATTCACTTCAACATGAGGATCAAAACTTTTATTCCGAAGCCTACGACAATATTCAAACGTCTATTACAAGCTTAGAAGCTTTGACGGTAATTAATTCCACCAATCAAACTACCGAGATGTCTTTAAATTCTTCAATGGACGAAGAAAAATCCAATCAAACATCGAATTCATACTGGGATCTAACGAACATTTTCTATCACTTAAACTCGGAGGATGAAAGAATGGAAAGGCCGCTGGAGGACAGAATGTCGTCGGAAACCCAGCTTCTGACTGCCGGTGAAAGGCAAGGTCGGCAATTCATATTGTATAACAGAGCTGCAGCCTTCAACTGGACTGTGGCCTTCACCGTGCCGCTCATCGCCTTCACTCTGCCCGGTCAGTATTAAATATATTTTATCATGTGCCTAATATTTCCGCATGTGTTTTTTTCATAACAAAATTTTGAACTCTAAACTGATTTTTGATTTTATGTGGAGGAAGTACGAGGATAAAAATCCATGTTTTATACGTAGCTAACTAAAATACTTGTAGGCTGCACTCAGACACTTTATTCAAGTTTTCTTCACGCAACTTATTAGTGTTGTATATGATGATCCTAATTCAGATGATATTTTTGATAATCAGGAGCGGGCGACACAAGACATGACTGGGAGGACAACAGCGTCTTCGGGACGCTTGTGTTCTCTCAACTTTTCATGGTGGCGAGTCTCGTGATCGCCTTGTACACCACCACGGTCGGCGAGATAGGGGAGGAAGCACCGCTCCAGCCTCTTGGGAGAGCGTTTCGTGTAAGGGAATGTGGCAGCGTTTTTTTGCAACATATATCTCATAATTATTTATAATTGCAACAATTACATATAATTTGCAACAATTATATGTAATTTGCAATATCTATCCTTTTGTTATGTTGACGAACTAACATATGTTTAGGATGCTCAAACAAAGCCAAATAAATGAGTTTTAGCAAAAAATAATGTACACTACTTGTATAATGTAACTAAATGGATGATCGTATGAGAAACTATATTAAATTGAACTTTAGTGCTTTTTTTACACTGCATGCCCCATGGAATCTTAACCTTGGCAAATTTTTTACCGCATTTCCGAATCGACAAAATTTCATGAGAAAATTCACAAATAAAATTTATTTAAAACGAATAAAAATCAGTGTCATTTGTCTGGATGGCTGATATATCATTTCTTTCATATGGACTATGCAAATTATTATACATAGAATGAATGAAATTGGAAACTGGATTTCTTGTCCCAAATTTATTGTGGGTTAGGTTTACATGAAACTCGCTTCTCTAACTTTACTTCTTACATTCCAGTAAGTAAAACTTCGTATTGAACAATATGCTCGCCGATGTTTTTTTTCCTATTAACATTTTTATCCAGAATAATTTTCTAACAAATGACTATCAGAAATTCATGAAGGAAAAAACACTGTTTTCGTCTATTATTACTGTTTAGATTTATTAAGAAAGCCCAACATGTCCCTTTAAAGACTTTAGGCGACTCGAGAGCGCTGTCAGAGGCCGTACACGGGGCGCTGGAAGAGCTCGCCGACGCGCTGGAGGTGAAGTCTTGTACACACCTTGCCACATGCGAGGCCTACACCGACCTGCATGCAAACAGCCTGCTCAGCCTGCCCTTCAGGGCCTACACACCGTGAGTTATGAGTTACATTGTACACACCTTGCCACATGCGAGGCCTACACCGACCTGCATGCAAACAGCCTGCTCAGCCTGCCCTTCAGGGCCTACACACCGTGAGTTATTATAGTTGCATTTTCAGTCATCGTTTTCGTCGATGGCTCAGATTGAAAGTCTCCTCGCCGTTTGTCATCACTCTTGTAATTTTCGTACGCGCTTGCATCTCTAACTCTTTGCACGCCATGAGGTCTGATTATATAAGATGTGTTAACATCCACTTTCCAGTGAACAACATGCCGAAAAGTAAAAGTAATGTAATAATCCACAATTTGACAATTGAAAAGCGAAAATAACAGGTAAAACAAATTTCAACTTTAATCTCATTATTTCATTAAATTCTCAAGTTACTAAAACGAAAGCTTGCAACATTAGGTTGGATTATGGTTAGCCCAGCTTTGCTAAGGCTACATACTATCAGTAGGCAATTGCTATCATTCATATCATTCAATATCATATCTGGCCATGAACTCTGCAGCCAATAGGTTGTACTTCTTCTAAGGCTGATGAAGATGGCCGTATCTACTCGTAGTATAGAGTAAGTGACAACGGCAGTATAGCTTAAATAAACAAAAATCAATGAATTTTTGCGACTTTAAAGTTCATTTGATTATTGGTTCATTAGAGTTTTATGAAAAGTATACGGTGATTCATAACTAGTCCATTTTCTGATTACAATAATTTTGTCGATTTGAAGGATTAATCAATCGAACGATATAATTTATTATTTCTCTTGAAATTTAAAACTTAGTCTGAAGCAGTTAAATGACTGACTGTTTATGAAGGATGTGTTCAAACTTTCCAGTGTTTATTTTGAATTTATCATTCTGACGGTAGAAAATTTTGAAGTTTAACTACTGGTAACAAATTCTTCATTGAGTGGGCCGAAGAAAAACCTTCCCAAGTCGTAGGGTGCAGCGAAAAAATACTGTTTTCGACTTCCGAAAAAAGCGTCACCAATTTTTCGAAATAAATGATTTTGAAAGGATTGCGCAATAAAACCATTTTTTTAAACCGTGCAGATATTGAAAATTACAAAGGAAATGGAATTTTACGGGATTGTGAGTTTAAAGTTAAATAATCGAAATAGGTCTGGATTACTGATATGAAATTCCAACAAAAATTCCTTTTTAATCTAGAAACTAGTAAGAGTAATATAATATAATATAATATAATATAATATAATATAATATAATACTATTGCAGAAACTAGTAAGAATATGGAATAATAATAATAATAGTCAAGAGATACTTAGCTGTTCTTTGAACTTTTCATTTACCGGCATAACGGTGCTGCGAGAGTCACCCCCACCTCCTCCTTCCCATGGTCCTATGAGATCATCATTTGGTCCAATACTTTCTTTGCAAAACTCAGCGATTTCTCGAAAATATAATTGTCGAAGAATATTATTGAACTAAAAATTTTAAGCTGCTTCAAGGACTTGTTGGAATCTATGTAACGATAACTGAGTTGTGATGTAGACGGGCAATAGAATAGCGAAACAAGTAAGCCAACAGCGTAGCGATGAATATGGTGTTTTTGAAACAAAATTATCAGGTTCTTATAGTTGAATTTGATTTGAATTTGAAAAATCTAAATTCACTTCGTTTATGATCAGAAATTTCCGTGCTGTCATTAACTTTGTGTTGGACGTTGTGAAAAAAGCGTGCTCTCATTTCGACGTCCGCCCCGAGATAATATTTACAAAATTTCCTCCGCGCTACAAACCACCGCGTCATTCATTTATCAGCATTCATGTCACTCCTTATTTGAAACTTACTTGAAGGCGTTCACCACAAACAAAAACTAATCAATGCAGTTAAAAGTCTTCGAATGGAATGGAAATGTATCGAGTGATACAAACTGTGCTATATTTTAATGACACAATTCTTGGGTGATGGTATGGTCGCTCGCGTGATGAGTTCATTTGGACGTCAGTGCGGTGCTGCAGGATTTAACACGATTTTGTCTACGTAGTTACAACGTTAGCTGCTCATTACGGAATAGTCTCATTTAAAATCTTATCTCTATACGCACAGAAAGTTTTTCTCTGTAACTCAATAATTTAAAAGATGTCGTGTATTACGTTATTACTAGACATTTCATTCATATCACTGCTCAATGCATCGACTACATTTGGCGTAGTTCTCTTGTTAAACGTAAAAAGCGTGGAAAATTCCCAAGAAGAACATCAGGACCCTGACTTCTAAGAGCCTCAGTTCGTCAGACAAACCCCCAATTGACCTAAAATTGGCTTGCGGTTCCACACGCCCATATAAAAAAAGTGGCAAGAAAGCCGCCTTATTTAGGACATCTGTATGCGCGAAGAAAACTCGCTTTGGTTGCAGCCGACTTTTTCGACTCCCAAGAATGACTTTCTTGATTTTAATTTTCGTTTCTTATATCGAAAATTGAAGGCATTTTTTCTGGATTCTATAATTTGATTAATTTGATGAACTAGTACAGCTTCGCTTTTCAGTAATACAACTGCAGAGTGTGGTAATATATTTGCAAATATGTTTTCCTTTTTTAGTACCAACATTAATAGTAATTGAGCGACGGTAGCTTATTTTCGATCCAATGTTTAAGAGAGCCACATTGAAAAGTATATTGATTTTCTTAGGAAATGAATTCACAATTGTAGGTAGCTTTGGAATTTCGATTCCATCATAAAGTAACCCTGCCTCTGGATGAGGCTCTTAATTAATACAGCAAGTCGTATCAACCATCAATTTGGAACTAGCGTCGTTTTCACTGCGTCGTTTCATGCATCTAATGTTTTGTTTTGCTGCTCAATATCTTACAGTGCTACTGTTATGCAGTCCAAACTACTTGAACCTCTTAAGTGCCCGAATCAATCTGATGATTTATTACTTTTTCCTTTTTATGTACAATGGAATCATTCATTTACTTGCAAGCAATGCTCATCCAAAGTGATTAAATTTGTGGTTTAAATCATGTTCCCTTGTTTATTATGTTACTCGCTTGCCAAAGACGCGATTAACTAAATTACATTTAAACCAAAAAATTTCTTCTGCATATCTTATTTTTACATCTCATTGTCCAGCTGAATTTGTACGCATGCAACACAAACAACTCTATCATAAACTCAATGCTGACTATCAATTAATAAGGATTGTTAAAAATGTTCCTAAATAAAACAAAATTACCAAATATTTTCATCAAAACCAATTAAAAAGGTAGAGAAACTTCATATTTTGAAGCGCTTCCCAACAGATGCTGGATGCACATTTTAAGTTAATCAAAGATTGTGGCAGTTTAATTACTGTCCTCACAAACATGAGCCATTTGAGCCAAGTCATTTTTCTCATATCATTTGCTAGTATAGGACAACTGCGTTCAACAACTTTTTCTGCCCTGTTTAGCCTAACACAATTTATAAGGTTTTTTTTTCTAAAAAGAGCTCTGTAGGCAGCCACTGGCATAATATATCGTCTCTAGCATAACTGCATCAAAATGCCTGACATTGAACTGGTCTAACTTTTCAAAATTAGCTGGCCCTATTTTTAGTTTTATGATGCGTGATTGTTTATATTTATAGTTCACTGCAGATGTAGTGCTTCATGATTCTCGACGTCAATCGTTAAGTTAGCCTTGATAAAATAAAATAAAAAAGTAAAAATAAACGCTAAGTCATCGAACTGTCGTTTTGAAATGATTTGCATTCAGTGGCTATCAAGCAAAAATTTAATTTGTTCATAATAGAATTGAGTGATATTCATTGTCATTAACGTATATTTAACTGGGATGAATTTTCTCGCCAGGTTACGGGACGACGTAACTGACGAGAGTGTGCTGACGTCACTTGAGGTCGCCGCACGTCGCTCGTCAGGATCAGGATCATGTCGCAGGGAATATCCTTGCATCGTCGATCCCTTTGAGCTCATGAACCTCGTCATTGACTGGGTAGCTGGGAAATTCTCTTCTTGATGTCGCTAGCACTTACTAAACATTACATGAGAATAAGAACCTGTTAACTTACATATTGTCAGTAATGACTTCGTTTGGAAATTTCGATAAAGATTTGACTTAGCTAGGTTTGAAATAAAATGTCTTAGGGAATTGTTCGATTTAGGCGTCTTGGTTGAATTGTAATTTAAATCGCCTAAAAGTGACAAACGGAAATTAGACATTGATAATGACTCCTGGCCATTAAAATCATGGTGAATAAACGAAATTTAACACAATTACAAGAAAAGCTGGAAGCAACGATTGCAATTTTGCTTCAAACTTTGTAGTACCGTTATTGAGAAGCATAAATTACGCTATTTTTCACGCATTGTATGTAAAGTCGATCTACAGTAATTAATTCCAGAACAAAAATTCCGAAAAATCTAGTCACAATTGAGTTAAACAAGAAACAGAATTCTGCCACAGGCCAATAAATATAGCCGTGAATTGTTTCAAAAGTTCGAAATATAAGTTAAAATTCAATTTTCAGGCGATAAAGGGCTGTAGAGATATTTCGAATAGTTCATAAGGGCATTGATGGCATGGCAAGTAGATTATAAGGTCATTACAGGCATTGCAAGTAGTTTATCATTGACTAGCAAAGTCAACATAGGCTCTCGATGTATCATATTAATCGTTCACGTTGTGCACAATGAAGCCCCCTACAATAATTATTCTCCGCCAATTTAAGTTTGTTTTTCCAAACAAACTTGACTGATAATAGGCCTGAGATGAAATTGTTCTCGTACAGTCATAGAACTGCGGATCAGCCTTTTATTTGTAAGGATTTGTAACTGAACGGTGTTGGGTTACGTTCTTGTATTTTGAATATTGTCCAGAAAAATCAGATATGGCTTGTTAAGGCATTGCAAGATTTATGACAAGTCAAAGAAGTTTTAAATTGATTAAAAGGAAGGATTTTCCTTCAAAATTGAACGATCTTACGCCAAGACTTCGTACAAATAATTTTCTAATTGAATTTCATGATGAGAACTTGGAAAAGTTTGTCAGGGAAAAATTACTCTTGGTTTTAAGTAAAATTCAATTACTGATTTCATTTCAATGACTACTTTGAACACTGCTTAGTTTGAACATTTTTGAAAAACAACACTTTGTTTAATGATTTACATATACGATGATCTGATGATTATGACAGTCAGTTGAAGCCAGTTGCTTCATGGAATATCGCGTGTGCTGCAGTTTTTTCTCCGATCCACGATGTTCAAATGTATTGAGATGGGCTGAAGTGGATTGAGAATAGGATTTAGTGTAAGATATTAATTAATAAATTAATATTAAGTAATTAAAATATTTCGAGTGATCAGTTATCACTCGAAAGAATAGCTCGCTAGATACATGAAAATCATTTCAAGATTAAAATCAGAATGGGAGAAATTTTATGCTCAAAGCTGCGTAGATACGTGTTAAGCACAGTTAAGTTTTTACATCATTTATAACTTGATATATTTTTTCTAATATAATATTCATTTATTATTGGGTATCATTTCAAACATTTATCTAAGTAGCACTCAAGTCACAGAAAATTGAAATAAATAAAAAAAAGTATCCACTTCATTAGGAGAACATAGAAAAGGGCCATAAAGAAAATAATATTGAACATCGAACGCGTAAAGCAGTTCAATTGACTGAAACTCTCGTCAGGTTCATGCTCGGGCGGCGCTTCACAAACTGGCAAAAAAACTCGTCTATGGAAAAAAATGCTGCTCATGTCACGTCACTGCCAGGGGCACCATGTATAGTCGTTGCTAGTGCACCATGTATAGTTTATACTGTACCCTGAGTGTACAGTGCCACACAGTACAGTGTACACTGTGTGTACAATGTGTCGAGGTCGGACGCCTGCTTGCGTGCTGTGCAGTGCACTGGCATCAGACGCCTACTTGCGTGCTGTGCAGTGCACTGGCATCAGACGCCTACTTGCGTGTTGTGCAGTGCACTGATATCTGACGCCTGCTTGCGTGCTGTGCAGTGCACTGACATCTGACGCCTGCTTGCGTGCTGTACAGTGTTTTGATGCCAGGCATAAAAATTCAATTCAGTATACACTACATCAGCGATTACATGCAGTTTGTGTTGAGGCTTCAGTGTACAGAATTTAGACATTCAATTTTCATAGGTTTCATTATATTTTATGTTGCACGGTGTTTGTTGTACTGTTGCTAGTATTTTGAACGTTATTCGGTACAGTGTTTGGTAGACTGAGACTGGTTGTTCAAGTCCATCTTGAACATGTTAAAACGCAGAAGCTTGGCAATATGAACGTAACTCACGATTAGTGCCGTAGGTGTCCACCATATTTTTAATAGCATATGCAGTGTAAAGACTGATTTGTAGGCCGAATTTCAGCCATTCACTGGAAAATCAGTGACGTATATGTGTTATTTTAAACATAATCTACTAAATACGACATGACTAACTGAAATATACTCTGGTCAAATAACCACAACTGCAAATACCAGTGTGCAACCTTTTCCTACGCGCAATGGTTACATGAATCAATATAGGTTCCAGGCATTTAAATCTTTATTTTTTAATGAATAGATACAAACGAGAGCCTCCATAAAAACTAACCTTTTATTACATAGCTGAACCGCAAGCTGCACGACCTACACAACCTACATCAAGCAAGTTTGCCTAAGGCTAACGTAAGTCAAGGATAAAAAAGTAAAGTTTTTTTGGCGAAAGTATTGTAAGGCCTTGACGAATTATTATTTAAGCTGGAGGTCTTATTGCTTTCTTTGATTAAAAATGACTTAAAATAGTAAATAATGTTCATGTCTAATAATCGTTTTTATTCTAGAATCTTTTATTATTTTAATTTTCAATTGTACCCCAACATAGCTTTAGCAGTTCTATAGAATGGGTCTATAGAATATACAAGAGATATTATTTTTAAAGCTTATCATACGGTAAATGCGGGCTATTCTACAGTCAAATTGCCTGGCGCTTATTTGGTGAACGGTAAAATAATGAGCACAAATGCAACGGCCGGTGGCGCTGGGAGAGACCAATACTCAAGGCGATGGTTAAGTATAAAATTAAGTGCATGCATAAATCTGACCAATGTGCTTGTCTAGGCGAGCACTTGTTGCTAATTATTGTTGAACGATGAGTTGTTGTTCGAAACATGCTCAGCGATAATGTGAAAGTGTGAAAGAAAGTGGCTCAATATTTTATTTAAAAACCTAGCTATGGCGTGAAGTGAGGACGAATCGAAGGGCTAGCTGCTGCCTCGTCATCTAAGAATTGTTGTAATTTCGGGAGCTGATAGCGCTGGAGTCAGGAAATATCATGCTATCTTATTCATTTTATAATGAAAATGAAATTCGTATTAAGCAATGAGTTGATTAAGAAAATAACAGTCCAGGTAGAGTTGTGATCAAGCAAGTAGGCTTTACAAGGTCACGATAAGCTAACAACGATGACCTCCGGAGCTCTTCATTGTTGACACGGAGCGGGACATGAGCAACGGTAAGCCAAATGAGAATGTTGTGACCACAAGCGCATTCACTGTTAATGGGCACAGTAGTTGAATTATAATTATTTTTTTGAAAACTTTGTAATGAAATACTTCTTATTACAGTAAAAAGTGTACATTTTATTAATATTTTCGCCGATAACTTCCACCGTGCAAGCGCCTATGAAGAATATATCCGAATATTAACTCTTTGTGCGGTTATGAATTTGCATGTAAATGTCAATGAACTTGAACATTTTCATATGTAGTACGGGCAGCGGTTAATAGCAATCATTATGGATTTTCCTCCTAACGCCTACTGATGGGATGCAATTCACTTTCCAGTAGGGAGCCGTAAGCTAAATGTCAATGGCTGCATTCCAGGCTGAAGGCAGGAGCAAATTGGGGCGCACAAAAGAAGCATGGATGGAACACATGGACAAAAAATTAGTTCATTAGGTCGATGCTGTCAATGTATTTTATGGTCCAAGTCAGTGAAGGCATTTTATCTTCAGCCGTAGAAACTGGAAAACGTTTTCGAATTATCATTGATTTTTTTGTAATGAATAAGCTGGTATTTGTCATGTAAAGCCATATAAGAGCGACCATTCAATCTTAGATAGAAATGTCATGTTGGCCAAGTATTTTTGAAGCCTGGCACCACAAATATATAACGGCTGATCGAGCCCCTATTCACAATACCTTTCGTATAGTGATATTACCTGCATGTGAAAATTTATTATTTGTGGGAAAATAGTAAAGTATTGCTGTATTAATAAGCAATGACTGAACCTGTCACTCATCTACACGCCTTATTTGCCCGACCACTGCACTTGGTCTTCCTCTTATATACTCGGTCACTTCACTACACTTCCTATATTCTCGGTCACTCCAGCACAAGCCTTATATATACTCTGTCATTTCACTGCACGTTTTATATACAGTGAACTTTTACATTGTCATCCCGGTACTTAGCCTCTAATGTGTGGTCCCATTAATTAAGATGCCGTTGCAGATCCGTTCAAATGTGTGTCTTCTATTGGATCGCCCAATAGGTTGTCTCTGCAGCATCACCACAGTGGAGGGTTAATAAGCCTGGCCTCCAGAGCAGGTCCTCTTAAATCAACATGACTTCACCTTTGAATTTGAAGTTAACGGGACAAGTGTCCGAGTTTTGGACCACAAATGACTATGGATTCCGAGCTGAGATCGGAACCCATGTCTTTACTATATAGGATTAATAATGTCTCTTTCTCCATGAATATATGAATACTAGAATTCAGAACGAAGACTGGAGTCCTGTTACTGAGCTTGCCCGGACCGGTTATGACTTCTGGGTACCACGAATCATGTTATTTGTGATATAATTTTGAATTAGGGAACTGCTTTCATGGATTGGCAACAAACTTAGTTGAATAGCAACTACGATTTATCATGTAAACTTTTGATAAAGCATGCTCTATCAAATACGTTCTCAAAGTAGTTCATTATTAATGTTGTTTACACATGCAAACAAACAGAAAAAAAGAAACAAGTGTTCAAAATTTCTTAATTTTCGATATTAAATTAATTGAGCTTTCTCAAGTGTAAAAAACTTGATGCAAATCAAATTCAATAGAGAAAATCGCGTGATGTTTTTTACACTACCTTAAAGGTTTCCATTTCAATGTTTAGGCCATAAAGACACGCAAAATATTAGCCAATGAATATAAATTGCAAAACTCGTTTGGCTAACCGCAAACGTTAAGCCTAGACTTACTTACGATGAAGGTCATAAATTTTACTCGCAAATCGCCTGGCCTCCCAACTTGCGGGTCAGTTGCTGTTGAGACGTGGCGCGAGGAGGACGTGTGGGCTCCGCGTGTTTAACCTCACAGGTTGTGCTGGATTGCAGAAGATGCCGGCTTGAATGATATAGTGCCAGTTTTAGGCGTTCAGTTAGAGCACATTGTAATATTTTAAATATTTTTACACGTACAATAAAAAAGTAAACAATTTTATATGAAGAAAATGTATTTATATAAGGGAATTATCCGTTTTTTTGGAGTATCGTTAATTTTCTCTAACAAATCGACCTAAATTTGTTAACAAGCCATCCCCTATACTAATATTCATAATGTAATATTGATAATGAACCATCCGAGCAGTTGATTGTAAAATCGAGGTTCTATCGCCTATTGGTTCAGTAGAAAGAGGATAAATAATAAGCGATTGTTAAATTTGCAGCATGAAGCGGTTGCGTTATTTTGTGATAATTTTGGGTGATAATCGAACTACAGATTTTCCTACATATTTATTTACTGAATGTGCTGAAAATTTCCGGATAAGTAGAGACTATGAATCGTGTTTTTTTCTTCGTTCATCCATTTGTTGTCTATTACATAGTGTGGAATGATCGCATTGCGAAAAAAATGACATAATTCATAACGTTGTTTGGTTTGACTAGTTAACAGAAACCATGTTTGTTTGTGTGAAGCAATATAATTATTGTCGATTCTGTTCTCACAATAGCGTCTTCCAAGACCCCTCAGAATGATCTCTCGACGGTCATTGATAAAAAGCTTCATAAACTGAATCCTTTACCGAATGCAATTAGCTAACAGCAACTGAATTAATTTTCAATACTAATTTTTCAGTCATGACGAATCTTGCTTTCTGCCGTCGAGAAATTTCTAGTATCAATTGAATGAGTCGCTGCTATGATAGCGGGCATGACGAGGCACTGACAATGTAGTACGCCGCGATTGCAGAAACTCTACGGGACTTAACGCGCATCACTTCAGTAACTGACTTATTTTAGCTCGCTGAGTTTGGGAAGATTGAGAAGATATTAACGAGGAGAATCTCATTGATCTTTAGCAGCTTTGTTAAGATTTTTTTACGATTGCTATATTATTTTATTATTTGAAATGGTATTAAGTTAGATATCATATTTGGCATTGATTTGCCGAACACATTAGTCAGAACGTTCGCTCGAGGCCGGTTTCTCACCATTGTCCGAACAATTCACAAAGTTGGATTTGAGACATCCAACTACTTTTTATCTTATCTTTGCTAAAGTCTTGAATATCTAGAGTTAAAGGGTCTTTCGAAATTGTATGGCACCAGAACTTACAATGAATAAAATCGTTTAATTAAATTAAAACTTGGATTTAAACCCTGACTTTCGAAAGAATTACACGAGTTTTCTAAAGGTAGGCAGTTTCATGCCTCAGTGGCTGTCAGGGCAGAGGATGCCTCAGTGGGCTGTCAGGGCAGAGGATGCCACAGTGGGCTGTCAGGGCAGAGGATGCCTCAGTGGGCTGTCAGGGCAGAGTATACCATGGCGATTTTCTTAAATGACTAATACTTGAATGTGTCACGTAGTAAAGTACTTGTAACAGTTTATTGTAAGTCGACTTGAAATATTAGATCTATTGATACGTGAGCCTGCTAACAAAATTACTTTCCCCATCAGACCAAACAAAATAATATTAGGAAACGTAAAATATTTGGCTTCACCTCCATCGTCATTTACAATCAAGATTCCTGTAATATTTTGCTGCAATAATTGTTCGAAAGTGGTAGTCTTATACAACGCAAGCAACTAGTGATGTCGGTTTGGACACTTCGATGAATTTTTGACAGCCCGATCAGCATCGATCTCGGGTTGAACGTTGCTTCTACTTTCTGTTCGATTTCTACAGTCATATATATAATTTCTAATTTCTTAATAATCAATACTTCATTGAAATTCACAATGAACTCCATCTCAGAACACTCGCTTATTGTTCTCTTCATCGCTGTTATCGTTTTTTCTACCCAATGGACGGAAGTAATCTGTCGAAGAAATCTTCAGGTTTCAACGAGAGGGCTCGCTGACTACGATGATGAAAGCTTTGACTTGGGTCGTGAAGTCAACATAGAACATATTCTAAATGAAATTGAAGCGATGGGCTTACGTCCAAAAGGAATGAAAATAGCACCTAAAACTTTGAATTCACGGTCGGACAAAAATCAGGACAACAATGTGGAGCCGATGGAGGATCCGCTTCCGACTACTACTCTACGGATACCACGCAGAGAGGTTTTCAGCATTCCGACACCAAATACTGGAATGAATAATTCACAAGAAATTATTCTCAACGATCAAACTTCCAACAATTTGTTGGATTATTCAATGGACGATGAAAATTCCAATCCTGCACTGATTTCTAACTCGAGCTCGACAAATGGAAGACTGAGGCGATCCATGGACGACAGCGTAGCAGATATATTGCAGTCCGGCAAAGACAAGCGCCAGCCTCGATTCTTCGTGAATTACGACAAAAGACATGCCTTCAACACTTCTATGGAATTCACAATTCCACTTTTTTCCTTTTTGATGCCGGGTGAGTTTCTTCCAACAATGACGAATTAGCGGTTAAATTTCAAGATAAACTTGCATCTACTGTATGAATTCATGACCCATACATAATTTTAGCTTGTGGCTTTGCTGTTAATAGAACAATATGCGAACCTCTCCTATTAATTAAACTTAGTGGACCAATTGTAGTTCGTGACCGATATTACTCATTCTTATTTTGGCATTATTTATCAAAAGTAGGCTGAATATAACAGGGTTTTTATAAGTCATTTGACACGACGAAGGTGCGGGCGACTTGACGCACGATGGGCTGGATGGGAACATTTTCGGTTGGCAGACGATGACAACGTACTTCCTGGCCGGCGCCTTGTCCGTAGCTATATACGTCGTCACTGCGGGCTCTGTCGACGAGGAAGTACCGCTCGAGACCGTCCTCAAGCCTATTTTTCCTGGGTCTCAGGTATGGAAATGTGTGCTGGTACATAGAAAAATGTGTGATAAGTATTATCCGTTGTTATAAGAAAAAATCGAATATAAAATTGGAATTTCTCTGCATTTAAACACTACATAAGGGATATATAGTGATAATATGAAAAAACTACCTAATGAGATACATGTAAACCACGTTCTACTTTGAAATTCCTTGGACATTGTTTTCACATCGTAAGTCTAGAAGCTCAGATACCAAGATATTAATTCTTTGAAAATAGTTCTCGCTAAAATTTCTCGCGTAAAAAATTCTAACTAGAAAATTCTAAAAATTCAGTGTCAAATTTTGTCTAATAATTTTTGGTGGGATAGAATGTGTCTAAATTTTTGTAGTGAAGACTATGAAGGTTCCCTATCGTTTATACCAATTAACTCGCGATGTTTTTTCACCGTTATGATTAATAAACCTTCAATCGATTAATGGAAATTAGCAATGTGCCCGTTAACCCTCTACCGCCTGACATGAGTTACCGGAGCAAACTTGTCCCACAAGCCCACAAAAAAAAAGATGCGTTGCCGGTGAGCGCAAAAAGACTTGCACTGATGGTTGCCGCCATGTACGATAACTTTAAAATGTTCTCTGTTGCGTACAAACGTCCTCAGGTTGTTACAGTCAATAGTTTACGTATAATTCAAGTCGAAAGTTATGTTCCCATCTATCATATTATGAGAGTGACATACGGCGGGAGAAGGTTAAGAATCGTCGACTAGACAACAAGAAAAAGCTGGCATCACTAAACTCATACATCTATCATATTAATTATTAAATCTTATTCATTATTATTATTTTGATAAGTTTTACACTTGTATCTTGTTCAGGAAGACAGACATTCTTTATTGTTTCAGTTCTTGAGCGATAGAAGCGGGATATCGCCAGCCCTGCACTCTGCGCTGGAACGACTAGTCGACGCGATCGAGGTAAAGTTTTTTCGATGACGGCAGCAAACGACATCTGATACGAGTTGCATGTGTCCTCGTACATTTTGGCGTCAAAAAGTATTCTATTCTGTGAATCTTTGTCAAAGTCGGTTGTTTGGTGCTATTTATTTAATTTACATTTGGCCACGATACAAAAAGCGTGATTCCGAGTGTGAATCCATAGAATATGACCTCAATCTTGATTCTGGGTTTCGTGATATTTATTCGGATCCTAAGTTCCAGATTTTAATAAGCTGACTGTGACAATACTATTTGTAATTTTGCAATTAATTTTCGCTGCTGAGAAACATGATTAGAACCAATTTAGGTATATTTGGTTATTCTGATGCACTCATCTTCTCTCGGTTTCGAATTGAACCCGTTTCAATCCAAAAATTTAATTTTTCATTTACACTCAAATAATTTCACTTTCCCTGATAGGAAGCAAACGGGAAAGGAAAAAATGAAATTTCAAAGAGAAGGCTTTCTGTCACCGATTGGGAGAGTTTCGACTACGGCAGTGATGTCAAAATTGACGACATAATAAAGGAAATGGAAGCAATGGGCGTGCGTTCAAAATCTAAGCAAGAAATCTTTAAGCAAGGTGTGTCGAAGAATAATAAAACAATTTCAAAAATAAATCACAACGATTGCGGTAAGAAGTCGAACACCCCTGCGTCGACTTCAATTCAACAGGGGGAGAAAAGCAGCATTTTTGGAAGTATTAAAAGTTTTCTGGCATCCATTGTGGGTATGGAAACTTCTAACGCGATTGATTCCAGCATTCAAGTGGACGACGGCAATTCATTGGATTACGCACTGGATATCGATCAAGCCAATACTCCATCAAATTCCAACTGGGATAATTCGGAAATTTTCATGCATTTGAATTCGACAAGTTACAGAGAGGAAAGTCCAATGGATGGCAGTGTATCGGACATCTTGCAGCCCGTCAAAGGCGGGAGACAGCCGCGTCTTTTCTACAATTTCGACAGAGGTTCTTCCTGGAACACGACCGTTTCCTACACATTTCCGATCTTCTCCTTCTTTTTGCCGGGTTCGCATTGCTTTAGTTTACTCTGAGTTAAAATTCTCACGATGGTTTTATTCGTACTGAAATTTGTGTGCCGAATAATGGTCTTTGTTGTTTCCATGTATAATGTTCAATGAAAGCAACAATAGGAGAAATAAACAACGAAAACCTCTTCAACTTGCTGAATGCAACGGAATATTGCATAATCATTCTAATAATGGGACAGGTGATTGATTCGCAGTCCGATGCTTTGTCTAAGAAACAGGTTATAGTATATCTGCTAATATCCATTAAATGTCGCTACGCAGGTTACAAGGAAGTGAGACCCGACGGGGTGGACAACCGCAGCTACGGAATTGTTGTGTGGGTTTTCATCATTATGATGCTGACTTTGTTGATTTCTGTGTCCACGACCATGCAAGGCGGTCTCATGCAGCCTCCCGAGCAACCTATTTGGCTTCAGCCACATCTCGGGCGCGCTTTCCTGGGGGATAAGGTAATGCTGATAAGAGTTTAAGCAAATAAACATGAAAAATACCATTAGAACCGTCCCTTCAATTTAAATAGTCTTGCGCTGCAACATAACCTAGAATTTCAGATGTCTGCTAAACTGTTATATTACGATTTTAGGCATCCATGTGATCTTGAAGAAAATGACTAAAAACGTGCAACATTTCGGTACATGTTGAATTTTCAGGAATTTTCTGTTTGATATCTGAACTTATGGAAATGTTCTTTATTCATACAAAATTATCTTAACATGGATTCGTAAGAGGAAAATATGATCACTGATTTCTTAAAACTTGATGCGTTTTATTTATTTATAAACTAATGATATCATATCACTCATTGAAATAAGCTATCCATGCATTACTTCAGAGAGCGTGTCAGTCGTACAGTAAAAATGATTGTTTAGGTTCAATCTTATTATATATTTAAAAATTATTTTTGTATTGTGCTGATATGTCCATGGAAGTAACAACTATTTTTACAGCACCCAGGCGACCTCAGCGCGCTGTCAGAGGCCGTGCACGGGGCGCTGGAGAAGCTCGCCGACGCGCTGGAGGTGAAGTCTTGTACACATCTTGCCACATGCGAGGCCTACACCGACCTGCATGCAAACAGCCTGCTCAGCCTGCCCTTCAGGGCCTACACACCGTGAGTTATGAGTTACACTGTACACACCCAGCCAACTTGCGAGGCTGCTTAAGTCTGAAGTCGCTAGCGAAAGCTTACATGAATTACTTGATAGAGAAGGTAGGAAGGCCAACCTGGTTTGGTTTGGGATTCCCGAAAGTACCGCATCTGTTGCGAAGGACCGAGTGATGGATGACACTGAATTTGTTGTAAAATGTTTCAGCAAGGCACTCAGCACACCGATTGATATTACATCGTGCAAGAGGCTACGTTCGAAGGATGCTGCTGCCAACACCTGCAGACCTCTGTTGGTGACTGTAAATTATTCTGCTCGGGTCTGGAGCGTGCTGAAAATAGTGAGAAAGCTTGGAGAATCCGCTGATTACAAGTCAGTTTTTGTAAAGAAAGCCATCCCTTTAGAGAGGGCGGTTTTTCGCAAGAAGTGGCAGGAGAGAATGAGGCGGAAAGGCACGGGAAATCAGGTCAATCACTTCCAAGCTTTCAAGACAACACCGGCGTCTCACGGTCAGTCAGAGGAGATGGAGGACAAATAATTAGTAGGAAATGTGTCCGTAGATGAAGGCCTGTAAATAATGTAGGAAGTAACCGCATACATCAAAGTGAAAGTGCACAAAAAGTTTAAAAATGTTTTTACTCGAACTCGGATTCCTTTTTGAACAAAAAAGTGAAATATTAACTGTGATCGCAAACGAGTGTATTAGACATTATTTGCATTACAGAAACACTCCCTAAAAATCACGGGGGAAAATTGTACCCGTTGAATTTCAGTTAACAGGTTTTGATTGTTTTCACAACTTAAATGAAAAGCAATGCAGTAGAGGTGTAGCTCTGTGGGTTAGAACCTCTTATGGGGCCCAGCAAGTTAAGTTATCTGCAAAGCATCAATCAGCTAGAGAATCAGTGTGGTGCGAAATTACTCTAAAAGGCAAAGATAGCCTCCTCATAGGGGTCATTTATAGATCACCTAACAGCTCCTCTGATAACAATAAAGCACTAAACAGCCTTTTACTGAGCATGACTTTCAGCATGTCGCATACGTTGATCGTTAGTGACTTTAACCATCCAGAAATAGACTGGGCAGACGAATCTTCTCCAAGAGATGGGAATCACCCAGCATCCCTATTCTTAGAGTCTGTGCGAGACTCATTTTTAATCCAGAACATCACCAAGCCAACCCATTTTAGCGGTAAACAGACCCCAAAGATTCTAGATCTTGTGTTTACTAGTGAAGAATCAATGATAGATGAGTTCCGCCACGAGACTCCGTTGGGCAAAAGCCACCACCAATAATTGTTTTTCAGTATTAAGCGCTGTGCAGAAAAGACGCTTCGGCAACGTGAACGTTTGAACTTTGTGAAAGGCGACTATGATCCGTGAAGCGGTGAATGCGGCGAATATTTCGGACTGTATTAAGGATATGAATGTGGCTGATTCATGGTCATTTCTCAAAGACACGGTTATGTCTGCAGTTGATGCCTGTGTACCCAAGATTACTCTTGAGGAGTCAAAAAGTCCCAGTGGATGAACCGTGCAGTTAAGATTCGGCTAAAGACCAAGAAAGAAGCCTACAAGCGTTATTTACGAACTCGCAGTGATTCTGATTATAACCTGTATGCAAGAGCTCGAAATCAAGCTAAAAAATTCTGTCGCACTGCAGTGAAAAACTTAAAAAAATATTGCCAAAAATGCAAAAAAATAGAATCCGAAAGCCTTCTTTTTGTACGCTAGTTCGAAGTGTAAGTCAAAAGACGGTATATCTGATTTGAAAGTAGACCAACGAAAAATTTCATCTGATGAGGGCAAGGCTAACGTTCCAAATCAGTTCTTCAGCAGTGTGTTCACAGATGAGGACTCGAACAGTATTCCAGATATTGAGAAGCGCCCAACCGGCTCGAAGTTAACAGGTTTTGAAATGCACGAAGAAGAGGTTCTCAAGCGCCTGGAAGCTCTAAATCCCAACAAGTCATGTGGACCAGACGTCTTCCATCCCAGATTGCTCAAAGAATTGGCAACCGTTCTGGCCGGCCCATTGACAGTATTCTTTCAGCAAACCTTGAAAGAATGAACTTTGCCGGCAAACTGGAAAGAAGCTCAAGTAACACCATTGTTCAAAAAAGGTGACAAAAGCAGCCCCGGCAACTATCGCCCTGTCAGTATGACAAGTGTTGTTTGTAAGCTAATGAAATCTGTTGTGAGGGATAGGATTATCGATTACTTGACTGTTCACCATCTCCTATCAGATTGTCAACATGGTTTTATTGCCGGTAGATCCTGCACCACTAACTTATTATCTAGGTTGAACGATTACACTCGCCTGCTTGACGAAAGGGAGCCAGTGGATGCATTGTACCTCGATTTTGCTAAAGCATTTGACAGTGTTCCGCATGAGCAGCTGGTGCGTAAAGTGAAGTCTTTGGGAATTGAGGGAAACGTACTCCAATGGATCAGAGATTTTCTATTAGATAGACGACAACGTATCAGTATTAACGGAACCGTGTCAGACTGGGCATCAGTGCGCAGTGGCGTGCCACAAGGAAGCGTTCTTGGGCCTATGTATATTGTTCATAGCTTTTAGAAACGATCTGCCAGAAGCAGTGTCCAGCGAGTGCTCCATGTATGCCGAAGACACAAAAGTTTATAATACAGTGAAGGATGCGTCAAATAAAGCGCAATTGCAAGATGATCTTGACAGTTTGGTTAACGGGCTGATACTGGGCAGCTGCGGTTTAATGGTGACATGTGTAAAGTACTTCACCTCGGGAAGAACAATGAACAGCAAGATTACAGTATGAGAAGACAGGGTTGCAACGAGAGAGTAATGATTGAAAAGTCTACTGTGGAAAAAGATCTCGGAGTTTATGTCAACAAGGAGCTGAAATTTTCTAAGCATGTTGAAATGCAAGATATAACACATCCAACAAACTTCTTGGACTAATCAGACGCTCATACGAGTTCCTAGATGCAGAAGCGATGAAACAGTTGTTTGTTGCTGTAGTACGCCCGAATCTAGAGTTTGGAAACGTTGTGTGGTCACCGAGATTTGAAAAGGACAAAAATTTAATGGAGAATGTTCAAAGACGTGCAACAAGGATAATTCCAGGCTTGAAGGGCAAGTCCTATGAAGAGAGATTAAAGACTATAAAGCTTCCAAGCCTCCGTTATCGACGTCTGCGTGGGGACCTCATTGAAGTATGCAAGTATACTCATGGTTTATACAAGGTCCCCGAAGGATTACTAGAATTTGAAACAAGAACCAACACCAGGGGCCACGGCTATAAACTAAAAAATCTGCGCTGCAACTTCTCCTCGGGCAACAACATTTCTTCTCGCTTCGAATCACCGACATGTGGAACAGCCTACCCGATTACATCGTTGGCGCTCCAAGTATGAACGCGTTCAAGAACAGACTAGATAAAGCTATGGAAAAATATATGTTCAGACTTAAAATGCCTAGCACGATATCGAACCCGGTGGAAGTCTAGTAGCTATTTCAAACAATCGTCAGTCCTGAAAAGATCCGGTCAAACGACACGATTTTAGATCTTCTGCGATCAACGCACGAAAAGTAGAAGAATCGGCGTAAGGCCACATCAGCTCTACCCTTCAGCGCCGACATCACTATGTTATGTTTGCCGATTTCTACCCGGGCGCCTCGAAATCGGCATTCAACACTGCAAGGGATGAGACTAGACGATACTGGAGCTCAATTTCTGTCAAGGATGGTACGAGCGGCGGCGCAATAACCACCCCGTACGACTGCCGCAAGGTTACTGGAGCTGAGTGTCTGTAGACTAGCGATTTATAGTGCACTGCGGGAATTATTCCCTATCCTAAATGTGAAAGAACTCCCCCACCCTCCTCCCTTTCGAGATCTGTCGTGAACGCATAAATCAACGTACAGAGATGGTTTTGGTACCGTTGGATAGGTCAGAATGTCAATTTTAAGATGAGACTAAAAACAGGAAAAGCCAAAATTGTCGGTTTTGGACCAAGACGCTCGCTCCCCTTAAAACTGATAATTGACACAAATTATGTAGTTAACAAATGCGCTTAACGAAACGGTGGTATGGGAATGGGGATTGAAATTTTTTGGTGATTTATAAAACCATTGAAAAATCTCGAGGTAATTGTACAATGTACATCCCATTCTTCAGCAAGCTTCAGTTCAGCTGCAAATTTGGTTTTGATAATCTGTTTTCACCCAACTAATAATGTAGATGATGACAGAAAGAAATATACTACGTGCCATTCCACATGCTTGAGATTGTTTAATTTATGGTACATTTGGAAGTTGCCGGTTTCTTCCAAGATAAGAGACAAAATTATGGCTTATTTGTCATGATTCTTACGTTTTCTCTTTCTTCAAATTCATTATGGTTTTTAAACGGATCACGAAGAATATTTTTGGTTTAAAAATAACAAAGCAATGGTTATCAATTCAACTAAAAATATATTCACATAATATTAACGTCGATGAGGAATTAATCGTATTCCTGCGAACTTTTGACGCAAGTGGTAAGTATTTATTATTGAAATTTGCAAGCAATTCATATTTTGCTGAACATATTTTTTCAATTTTTGAATTGTTTTAAGATGTCGAACATTTTTCTTCTTCGTTGCCTATGTATTTCGCTCTCCCTTAAGAATATGCAATGGTATTTCAAGAGTAATTCTTTTCGGAAAAAATTTATTTTCTATCTCTTCTATTTTGTGAAGATTCCATGGACATTGAATAGAAAATACACAAATATAGCGCCATCGCCAATCCATACTTTCGCCACAAACTATGCAGGTCGCCCGCAAACCTGAATTTGAGTAGTTCGATCAACGGTTAACATTGAATCGCCGTCGCCGTGAGCTCTTTCAAGTTTCTGTCACCCGAAGAAGTCATCTTACGGGATTTGCATCGTTGCGCTTCGACATT